GGGTCCTAATATATACCACGACTTAGCTACGTAAATACTGTGGGTCCTAATATATACCACGACTTCACTACGTAAATACTGTGGGTCCTAATATATACCACGACTTCACTACGTAAATACTGTGGGTTCCACGAAACGAAATAAATTACGATAAAATTATGAAAGTTGTTCTGGCAATGAGAATAATAAAAGTAACTTGACCAGAACATTAAAATCAGATTGTATTTATTATACATTAGCCTTCTAAGAAAAAGGATGAAAGACGTTTTTAAATTTTAGAATTATTCAAAATCTAAAATGCTCCCCTACCCAGAGATGGGTCCTGGATACCTACCTATACCTGAACCAGAAGTAAATACATCCCAACCCTATCCTTCAACCCAAAATGCTCCATTCCCTCCAACCCAAAGTTACCCTCCAACCCAAAATCCTCCCTACCCTCCAACTCAAAATACTACCTACCCTACGAGCCAAAATACTCCCTACCCTACGAGCCAAAATACTCCCTACCCTCCAATACAAAATGCTCCTTATCCTTCAACACAAAATACCCCCTACCCTCCAACACAAAATACTTTCTTCCCTACACCTCAAAATTCTCCTTACCCTTCTTCCCAAAATTCTCCCTACCCTCTAACCAATAATACTTCCTACCCTACACCTCAAAATACTCCCTACCCTCCAACCAACAATACTCCTTACCCTCCAACTCAAAATTCTCCCTACCCTTCAACCCAAAATACTCCCTATCCCTACTCCCAATCTAACACTCCCTACTCAACACCTCAAAACGTTGCTCCCCTTAACCCAGAATTTAATCCGATCACAACCTCAATCCAAGCTTACCCTCCATCTGCTCCCTATGTCCCTGTTTCTGCTCCCTATGCTCCCCCTGTCCCGCACTTTAATGAGGGAGTAACTAGCCTGGAGGATAAGGAAGGATTACTCTCTGGGTTGAGCAAGCTGACCCTTCATCCAGGTAGATTACAGGAGTACTTTCCGGGTTTAGCAAGCTGACCCTTCTTCCAGGTAGATTAGGATTACCTTCCGGGTTGAGCAAGCTGACCCTTCTTCCAGGTGGATTACAGGAGTACTTTCCGGGTTGAGCAAGCTGACCCTTCTTCCAGGTAGATTACAGGAGTACTTTCCGGGTTGAGCAAGCTGACCCTTCTTCCAGGTAGATTAGGATTTCCTTCCGGGTTGAGCAAGCCGACCCTTCATTCAGGTAGATTATAGGATTATTCTCTGGGTTGAACAAGCTGACCCTTCATCCAGGTAGATTAGGATTACGCTCTGGGTTGAACAAGCTGATCCTTCATCCAGGTAGATTAGGATTACGCTCTGGGTTGAACAAACTAATCCTTCATCCAGGTAGATTAGGATTACGCTCTGGGTTGAACAAGCTGAACCTTCATCCAGGTAGATTAGGATTACGCTCTGGGTTGAACAAGCTGATCCTTCATCCAGGTAGATTAGGATTACGCTCTGGGTTGAACAAGCTGA